TATCAGTGAAAGAATGGATATGAGACCTGCCATTCAAATTGTAAAATGAAATCTCACCCAACTCATAGTCTAGATAAATACCAATCCCTCTGGGTTTTTCCTTTAACACAAGAGTGACTGGAACAGCACTTTGTGCAACATAGTCACCATTGAGAAGCTGAATTGCCCAGCATCTGTTCTGCCCTGTTGGAAGATGCTTTCCTTTCCTGGAAAGAGAGTCTATACACACTCCCACCATCCATTCAGGCTTGTCATCCACTTTGACTTCCCAGTAATGTCTGCCAGAATTGAAAGCTTCAGAACCCAGGACAACTGGGGAAAAGATAAATCTCTTTAGATTAGGATAAAGTCTTTCCCTTTTCGTCACAAATGTTACAGACTTTTTATCCTCAGCTGTAAGCAAATTAGGATGTGCCGTTTCAGGGTCCAGAGTCACATCTGTTTTAAATTTATGTATAATTTTCTGCAGAACCGAGTACTGTGGAGGAAGACTGAATCCTTCCTTCCTTAACTTGAAAGAATATAGAGCTGGGGTCTTGAGACTTTCATACTTGTCATGGATACTCTTGATATCTGTCAGCAACTTGACTTCTGACATCACACTCTTTTCTGCTACCTCTTTTTGTAGACTTCTGAGTGTAGAAATGTAGTTTGAAAATGCTGTCATGTTTGCATTTAGTTTCTGTTGAACGTGTTTCTGTTCGTCAGCTAACCTGGAGAGAGCTGCCTCATGCTCATGGTCTAAAATCTGGTTCAGGTGCTCAAATTCAGAGAATAACTTTTGCCTCTGATTTTCCACCTTCTCTCTCAGTTCTAATGGTTCTCTCTCTTGAGTGGTTAGTAGTACTTGAAGATCTGCCACATCCTTCTTCAGGGACTGGATGTAACTTGTGAGGCTTTTCCTGTGATGAGAGGCAGCTTCCTCTATGGATCTCACGTAGTGATCCTGGTGGTCAGGGGGCTGAGTGCACAGAACACACAAGACTTCCAGGTCCTCCTCACAGAAAAGGGTCAGGACTTCATTGTGCTTCTCACACAAGCGTGTTTGTTCCCCCCTGTGCCTCTTGCTCCTGGTGATGTAGAGTAGCTTGGCAATGTCGGCCATATTTCCCAGCTGGGTGTTGCTCCTGAGCTGCAGCTCTTGGCATGGGTGGCGGCATACAGGGCAAGGGAAGCTGTCCTGTCGATCTTCCCAGGACTTCTGGATGCAGCAGCGACAGAAGTTGTGGCCACATTCGATGGTGACAGGGTCTCTCAGGTAATCCAGACAGATGGGGCAGTTGGCTTCTGCCTGGAGTCCTGCCAGGGCTGCTTCAAGTGCCATTTGTCTGTGAATGAAGATATGGACTGAGGGGGCTTTTCCTCAGGAGAGTTGGGCTCTTCAGGTACTCCTGTTGATGTCTAAGAGGCTGCTGGTCCTCAGTTGCAGAGGTGGGTGCCAATAGGTGTTTTCTCACAACCAGCCACTGATCAGATCAGTTGGTCAACTAGTCTTCTTCCCCTTGGCAACTCAGAGGATATGAAGTCAAGCTAAGCAATTTTCTTGGTCAGAAACCAGTCAGGAACTTAAGGTGCTTATTTGTTCCTGGGAAGAAGAAAATATTTATTCCTTTTAAAATGTTACCATTTGTCTGTGTGGTGCTGCTCACTGCCACCTTTGAGGCAAACCCTTAATCTAGTTTCCATTCCACCATTCCACTTATTCTCACATCAGGCACTCCAAGATTTCATGTGACTGTGGAAACAGCATGGACTTTGGAAGTGGATTTCCTATATTGGGTTAGATTCATCCCTTGTCACCTACTATCTGGGGAACCTAAGGAAATTTATTTAACATCTTCAACTGTAAGAAAATCAGGTAAATAAGGATAAAAATCCCAACATCAGCCATTTCAATATTTTTAAACACGTAAGAAAGGAATCTGACAATTTTTCAGTTCAAATAACACATATTTATGGTAGTTATGAATCCATAGTTAGCCAAAGTTTACTTGTTTTTCATCTAATCTTCTTAATATCTGGATATATCAAGCTGTGCATATCAAACCCTAGATTAGATAGATTTACTCAGAGGACTCTGTCAGCTTGGAATACTCACATGGTGAACAAAAAGAAATGTGAGATCAGTATTCCAAAATAAAATAAAGCTGAGAAACCCAAAAACAGACACATGCACAATTGTTATTTGAAGTTATTGGTAATCTATCAACTAGTGAGAATTTTTAGGGATAAAATCTGGGGAAGTGATGGGAAGACCTGAGAGGAGAGTGGAGCTTTACCTAAGAGGTTGGGAGGTTTAGTAGGGCTTCAGCCAACTATCAGGACTGAGGTAAAAAAGGCACTGATTAGAAGATGTAATCTAACAAACATACCAAGCTTTCAACTGGATCACTAGGAATAAGAATCCACCAAAAATAGAACAAACTTTTAAAAAATCTGATTGGTTTAATCATTTTGGGCCTAGATTGTGATTGTGTGAGGATATAAGATGAAAAGAAGTGTTAAAACTTAAAGTATTGGTGGATATGTGTTATTATTGAAATATTCATACACAACTAATAGAATATATGTTGGTACAACTACTTTAGGATACTATTTTGCATTGTAACTAAATTTAAACATGCACTTACTTCTCACTTATTAACAGTCTTGTTGTCCAACATTTTACATTTATGCCAATAGTAAAAATTATACTATCTATTTTGTGCATTACCAATGTACATCTGGCAGTAATGAATGTGCAAGTGTGAGAGGAGAGTACCACTGTCTATCTTGATTAAGATTATGTGTCAACATGGCTGGGCCATGTTTTTCAGTGGATCAGTTATGCAATTTGACAGTTTTATAATGATGTAGTCATCCACCATTTTGTGATTTGATGTGGTCATCCTCCATTTTTTCACAATGCTGATTTTGGTATAATGATCTGGTCTTTCAAACCTAACCATGTGGACAAGGGAGGAGTAGGTTTCTTTATCCTATCACCCAATTATTATACTCTAGGGTATATAATTACTAGAAATATGAACATATATGTCTACTGAGACATAAAATCTTCATGGCAAACTTTGCCATACCCTTTATTAGTAGAATGGGAAAACTGTGGCCTATTCATACAATGGAATATATCAAGAAAGAAAAGGGACTAACTGCTCTTTACTCAAAGTGGATAAACACAATGTTGTGTGAAAAAAGACACACACAGAATAATACAGACCGTAAGATCTGATTACATGGTTGTAAATATGCAACATTACTTCACGGTGTTAGACATTAAAATAATGCTTATATTTGGAAAGGAGGGATTGTTAACTGGGAGGTACCTGAGGGCTTTGGATCCTGATAATATGATATTTTTATTCTGAATGGAGGATACAGCATTATAAATTTCTGTGCATGTTTATTAAATGTAAAAAATAAAAATAACAAAAACATAAAATATGATAAATTATGAAATAATATTTTTAACCTGGCTGAGGAAATATTTTCTAATATTGATTGAAAACTGGTGGTGTAGCGCTTAAGGCATATAACTGCTAACCAGAAGGCTGGCTGTTCAAATCCTCCAGCCACTCCTCGGAAGGAAGATTGGGCAATCTTCCGTAGAGATACCGCCTCAGAAACTGAAGTAGTGGTTGCCATGAGTTGAATTGACCTGAAAGCAGTGAGGTTTTTTTTTTTTTTAATAAAGAAATCCTATACGTTAATCAATTCCAGTGAAACAGAACGAACAATTCTATGTAAAATATGTAAAGGAAGCGAGTAACAGAAACAAATGAAAATGAAATTGTGAAAATAATGCACACTATTTTTAAAAATCCAGAAAGTTCAGTATGCAAAAAGAGAGATTATTCTTTGTATATCATCTGATTGGCATAAAAGATTGTTAACACCTGGGCAATGGACATAAGCATCCAATATCTCTAGTAGTAGAGGAAGCCTGGGGGGTTGGAGAGAGCAGAGACTCTGACCCAGGCTGCTTGGACTGATAATCCTTTCTCCACCTTTTATGGTGATGTGATCTTTGACAAATCAGAAAATACTGACTGAAGAAGCAGAAATATTCCTAGCGTCAGGCCTGAAAGTGCTCACTCAATTGTAACCAGCAATACTAGACTTTCCACACTCAGGATCCTATAGTCAAAGAACAGACACTATTTAGTCACCACCATACCCTTACTAAAGCCACAAACTCTTCTTTCTGGACACCTGTACACAGCTCCAGGTGCACACACCCAGGCCTCCATCTGCTCCACTCATGAGGATTTAATCACAATATTCTATTTAAAAGGGTTCAGGATTACATTTTCTAGAGGACCCCATTTCCTCTCTACAAGCCCAGCCTCTCCCAGCACCATACTCTCTTGCAGTGCTCTCTTTCCTTCACTGTCTCCAACAGGTTGCACACCCTTAGCCCCAGCTCATTTGTACAAGCTGGTATCTTAATGGTCTTCAATACTGCCTTCAGCTCTTAATAGCTTTGTCACATCCTCCAGAGCTAAGCTTCTCCTTACTTCCTTGACTGACTAGTAAATTCACCTAATATCATGACCAAGTGAAGTAAGTACCACATTGTGTGCTTCTCCTTGTTGTTATAAGCCGTCGAGTCGGACCTGACTCATAGCGACCCCTCCTTGGGCTTCCGAGGAAGTATCACTATGGAAGTAGATTGCCCCATCTTCCTTCCAAGGAGTGCCTGGTGGGTTTGAACCGCCAGCCTTCTGGTTAGCAGTCAAGGGCCTTAGGCACTACACTACCAGAGCTCCTGTGCTTCTCCTTAGAACTCTTAATAATGGTGGTGACTTTATTTACATTTTGCAGCTCTGAGGTCCCCACTAAACTGTTAACCTCCATGAAGGTAGTAAAATGCTCTCCCCTGACCACCACCAGTTGGTATCTTCCACTATCTCTTTAATGTCAGCCTAAACAGCTGTTGACTGAATAAAAATTGAGCGAAGTTCTTGGTTCTCATTTATGATCTATGTGACTATGGCAAACTACTTAAACTCTCTAAGCCTCTGCTTCACGTAAGCAGGACCGCTTACTGTGAAGATTAAGTAGGATTAAGTAAAATCACATCTGTACAGGGTACAAATACCAGGAATACCAGGTCTCGAGGCTCTTCTCACTCCACTGCCCCCTAACTATACACAAAACTCTCACTGAGACATCCTGGGAAATAATTCCAGACTTGGCTTCAGGCCAATCATCTCTGAGCATTTGTCAGACACGTATGTCGTCACCCCTTTTTCTGACTCCTTAGAATTTAGGTGGGACCTGGGTCTGTATTTTTAACTAGCATTTCCAAACCAAAAACCAAACCCACAGTCATCTACTGAATTCCAACTCACAGTGACCCCCATTGGATTTCCAAAGCTGAAATTTGTGTCCAAGGAGCAGCTGGTGGATTTGAACTGCCAACCTTCTGGTTAGCAGGCAAATGCCTTAAGGCTGTGCCATCAGAGCTCCTTAGAACCATAATATATGTGACGTGTTTTAAAATAGTGCAAATTCCAGTATGAATTCATTTTTCAGAGGCTATCTTGACCCCCGTACACACTAGATGCTCAGAAGTCTGAGTCCTTTCCATGCTCCAGCCTCCCGCACCCCCATGGTCCCAATCACCAGCTTACCTAGAGTGGGTGAGTTGCTGAGGAGGGTCTTCCAGACTGATCTCTACAAGTCAGCCTTGCATCAGAAGATGTGGCAGTTGTTGGGACCATAGAATATATACATGAGCTAGAGGGTGGAGCTCTTAGGATTCTTCCTCCAATGATTAGTGGTTCTTCCCTTGAGGAGGGAGGCCAGGGCTGTGGTAGACACTGTGTTGATAGGCATGATCTCATTTACACCAATTTAATTCTATTTGATCCTCTCAGTATTCATTAATCCTTTCTTTAATGATGAGATCATGGAAGCTCGCAAAGTCTAAGTGAGGCCTACCCTCTAGAACTCAGTTTAACCCTCTTATTATAGTACATAATTTTCTGCACTGTGCAGTACATAAAAAAACAAAGCAAACAAACAAACAAAAAAACCTCACTGCTGTCGAGCAGGTTTGACTCATAGCGACCCCCTCCTTGGGTTTCCCAGGTGGTATCTGTATGGAACAAGATTGCCCAATCTTCTTTCCAAGGAGTGGCTGGGGGGTCGGCCTATGAATTTTCCCTTTCAGTTGTAGACGTCTCAGTTGAGTCCAGCCCTTGCTACTTCCATATACTATTTTTTGAATCAATGGTATATTATAAAATTTTCTTGAACTTGTTCCTCACATTTTAAATAGGAGATAATCATTTCTATCTCACAGAGTGCCAAATCTCAAAG